TTGCCTAAATTTTGATAAAACTGATTTTAATTTCACTCGATTTGCTTTTTGTTTCCGAGAACAGAAAAACCAGAACTTACCATTCTATTTACAAAAGTTCCAATGAACGTAATAGGTTGCAAAATGTGTTGATATAAAACGTGTCATATTTGAGATTTTAATGTACTCACCTATTTTTAAAACAATTTGTGTTCAGTTCACCTTTCGACATGTTGTAAAGCCAATTTAACTTCCTACCCGAGTGCTGTCCTGAGTAAAAATTTGTAAACCTATGTACGCTACGTTCCAACTAAAATATAAATATAGTTAATTCAAGTACAACTCGAGGCGTAGATATACCTCTGAGGGCAGTCCAAATGTGAACGATTGTTGAAAAGGCCAGGAACCTGATGATAATACTTGAATACTAAAGTCTATTCCTAAAGATTCGTTTGATTTAACTAGGTGATTCCTAAACTGTTCATTCAAGTCCTTTGATACACCGATGTCCTAAAAGATACGCACCAAAATTTATTGACTAAACAAATAATGTATGAAACCTTGGAAGAGCCAACAAATATATTAGTTTAACTTATATGTCAAATGTTGTACAAGCAGAAAAAGTACAATTCCAAATTCCGAGTCAGAAAAATACAAGTTGTATGTCAGCAAAATATAATGTTTTAAGTTTAAATGAGAAAAATGCGACGTACATGGAAGTTCCAAGTTATAAATCGAGAAAATCTCATTTCAACAGCAGGTTAAGTTAGGTTAGGTTAGGACTATCGAATAACAAATGACTCGTAACCAGTGTTCGTTAAATCCGAATATGTATCCATAATCGTAATACAGAATCGAAGTACTGGTACTGGCACTGGCAATTAGCAATCGTATTACGTTATTACATATTCGGATTCGTACATCATCATATTACGTTACGACAAGGCGTGGTGAAAGCCAGGAGCATCCGATCTGCTCCTGACCGAATTATTTGTTATAGGATAGGTATATTATTTTATTTCATATCCCAGTCCCGCCACTCCACTATCTAGTCATCTACTTGACTCTACACAACTCTCTAGAGCAGCGGTCAGCAACTGGCAGACCACGGTCCAGTTCCGGACCGCGGAAGACAAAAAACTGGACTGCCAAAAATTTTTTTAAAGTATAAATTACACAAATAAATTATTTAAAAAATATATTTCTCTGTAGAACAATCCCTACGTTTTTTCTAGTATTTTACAATGGCGTTACTGATTTGAGTTCTTAATCGNGTTTTTTTATTGGCCGTTTTTGTGAATTTTTTGCGGTTTTTCGTGTTTTTCTCTAATGAATCGACTTCCCTGGGCTAAATACTTCATACAAAAGTTATAGAGTAGAATTAAATTCCGAACATTTTGGATTTTTTCTCTAGCTACGTTTTTTTCGCGGGGAGGCTTAGAATGTTTTTAATCAGACTTATTGTTCACAACAAAATCTCACTCCAAGAGGGTGCTCACATTGGGACACTAAAGTTGCCGAAATAAACTCGATTACAATTCACAACTTTCATGGAAAGTTTCCTACCGTCATCCGCAAAAATCCGGGAGATCACTGAGGAAAACTGCAGAAAAAGTTAGGAATTACCCCCAGTGGGGTAACTTAGCTAAAGAAAAAAAATTCCAAAATGTTCGTAATTGAATTCTCTATAACTTTTATTTGAAGTATTTTGCCCAGAAAAGTCAATTTATTAGAGAAAAACACGAAAAACAGCAAAAATGACTAAAAACGGCCAATGAAAGCAATGGGACCACATTTGGACTCTAAGACCGTTTTTTTCTGGTACAGCGACCCAAAATACCCCGCATATCGTCATAAAAGTTAATGGACCTTTACATGGTCAACGAACTGCCCGCAGCCAAAGGACTATCCAACCTTACTACTGGAACGCGCGTACTACCAGTATTTTGTAAGTGATTTTGATGCATTTAAAAGGTCGGGTGTCACTCATGAAGTGACAATTGTCATTTCCGACATTAGGTTAGAATTAGGAAATCACGAAAATCTCCTGTCTGTCACAAACATAAAGCCAGAAGTCATTCTAGCGCCGACGATTTCTACATTGGAGGTTATGCCGAACTTCACTTTCTACCCCCTATATCTCGAAATCTGTCCATTATTACACTTTGTGCCCATGGAGACTTTTGATCAGGAGCTCGAATAGAATAACATATATCAATTTCAGAAAATTTCACCGAGGGCCACTTCCCATAAGAAACGTGCGGGGTCCTTACTCAAATAAATTATTTAAAAAATATATTTCTCTGTAGAACAATCCCTACGTTTTTTCTAGTATTTTACAATGGCGTTACTGATTTGAGTTCTTAATCGTTAGTAGTTAGATTAAATACATAGTTGCTATGATGTGTAGTGCAGGAGAGTGCGCGGGAGTGCGAAAGGGAGCAAGCTGGCTCTAAAATGATAAAGTTATCTTTCGGGCGGGTGCACTCGGAGGCGGCGACATTTGACATGTTCCAGAAAAGTATGGAAATTGCAAAAAATTAGCCATTCACCTAGCCACTGCGTTTGGCTTCACAAATGTTTGTGAAACTTCATTTTCAAAAATGAATTTTTTGAAGAACCAATATCGCTCAAAATTAGCGGCCGCCCACTTTGAAGACACTCTTCACATAAGCTGCTCCCTGCGTGGCCCTAACTTAAAAAAACTGTCTCAAGACGACAAATGTAATTTTTCCAATTGATTTTTGAATACAAATAATACCTATCTATTGTATTGCATATTATTTTATGAGTGCATAGTAAAATAAAAAATTAGTACCTAAGGAATATGAGTTTTTTCTGGACCTCGTTAAAAATTTTCAAAAGTATCCGGACCCCACCTAAAATGACTTGCCGACCCATGATCTAGAGCAGGGGTCGGCAACTGGCAGACCGGCAGACTGGAAGGTAAAATACTGGACCGCCAAAAATTTTTTGAAGGTATAAATTACTTGAATAAATTATTTAAAAAATGTTTTTTTGTGTTTGAGTGTTTTTTCTAGTATTTTACAATTGTGTGAGTGTTTTGAGTTCTTAATGGTTAGTAAGCAGATTAAATTTGAGTCCAAATTAAAATAAAATTTTTTTTAAAAATATCAATTTTCTTTCTGGACCTCGTTAAAAATTTTCAAAAGTATCCGGACCTCATCTAAAATTACTTGCCGACCCTCGCTCTAGAGCAGGGAGTATTGTTCTAAACATTGGAAAAAAATTCTCAATTTTAATTTTGAGTACTCACTATTTGATTTTGAAATTTTTCCATTTATTTAACACGTAACCTTACGTTTTTTTTTAATTACCTAAATCTCAGCTGCATTTCACATTATTTTATTGTCCATAAGCGATAATGATAGGAGAATCTTTGTTCTTTGAAAGTGACTTGAACAGTTTCACTGCTAAAAAGCCTTAAGGCTAATTTTTATCGATTTTTGCATTTTTCTCATAAATGACTAGACTTACAGCAAAAACGTAAATGACATTTTTATAGGAAATTAAACGAAGATTCCCCTATAACTATCGCCTAAGGACAATAAAATAACGTGAATGCAGCTGAGATATAGATAATGTCACCAAACCCGAGACTTTGCATTAAATCTAATGTAAAACAAATACAAAATCATCGTAGACAGCAAAAACACAGCGACATCGATGTCATCAGTCATCAATAATTAAATTAAGATAGTGACAGACGCATAATTACGAATCCACTACTGACTCTCGGGCCACGATAAATCAAATCTCTGACTATTATTTTAGTATCAAACCATTTTAGAATGTTTCTGTGATTTTTTTTTACAAAAAAAAACAGCAATACTAAATTCTACGCCTTCCTAGGAGTCTCACTAGCCGCAGCTTCGAAAAAATCAGGTAACAAGAATCTACTAGTAAACGGAGGCGTAGACAATAATTTAAAAAAATTTAGGTTTACGTGTTAAATGAATGGGAAAATTTCAAAATCAAATAGTGAATACTCAAAATTAACATTAAAAACTGGAATTTGGTGAGAATTCTTTTTCTTAACGTTTAGAACAATATTTCGTGAAAGGAGCGAAAAAAAAATTTTTTTTTTTTTTCAAATGAAGCACCCTGGTGCATATGCTGCAGATTAAAATAGAGTATGACACGTACATATTACGTATTTGGGTGATTATTCCGAATATCATTCTAATCCGAATATTTACAACACTACTAGGAACTTCTAAGACGTACGTTGGATTTTTTTATTTAGAGCTCGATATTATAATATTTCCATTTGAAGTAATATTTTTCCCATTTAGATTTCGTAATTATATTCTGATTTCCAAGTTGAAACTGTATTTTTCTAAATTATAACTTGAAAATTTCGATATTCATGCGATTATTTTTTTACAACTTTCGATGTGGATTATCTCAACGACAGTGCATCGATCAACTTAATTTGACTCTTGGTGGTGATCAAAAACCACTATATATCGATGATATATGGAACTCAATCACAGCCGTAGTTCGCTCATTGACAAATTTCGTAAAGACTATGAAAAATCGGTTGTTGTTCCATGAAACATTGTGCGTAAACTAATATCGCAAGATCGTCATGCAACTTATCATAATATTGAAGTATCCTTGGGCATTAGTGGGACCTGCATACATTCAATAGTGCATGAACATTCAGTTGCCAAAATTAGGACATCAACATTTTTTGACGGCTGAAGTGACGGTTGATGCGTCCAAAATGTATGTTATGAAGATACCTAAATCGGAACAGAAAATGTGCTTCGAAAATTGGTTCATGGAGAATATTTGGAAAAACAATAAAGCCATATACGATGATTAATATCCTTTTTTGTTCACCATTCCCGAAATATAAAAGGCAACCCTCGTAACAAAGAAATGGCAAAGTATTAAAAAATCTTTGGTAGTGATAACTTTAATCACTATTTTCGAGAAAATAATTAGATAATTTTATGGAATATTTAGCAAATCTATTACATATAGTTGCTTACCTGGAACATCCTTTGCAATTTCGAGGTGTACTCAAATCCGCAAGCCTGCTTAAGTTTTGAGATCATAGAAGCCTCAGCATCATCACTGGCTGACATATGTTGCACAAGTCGTTTAGCTAACATTTTGCTGTAGAACTTTTGGAAAACGTCTTTATCTTCAATGTACTTAAATACAACCATCTAAAAGCAATAAATTCATCATATACAGGCTGTCTACTATAAGAGGGCCACTCCTAAGTATCTCGCTTAAAACACGATGCACGTCAAAAATCTTTATTTGTTTTTTTGTTGCATTTTTTGAGGCCTTTATGCTCGTAAAAACAAATTTGAGATCCATGGCCAACTTTATGAGAAATCATAAAAAAAACGAAAAAGTACCGAAAGTTTAGGGCTATCTAACTTTTTTATTTTAAGATACAGAGAAAACTTATTTTAATAAATTTTCATGGCAAAATTGATATCTTTCACCTAGTGCAAACAGATTTTTTAAATATCGTATGTAATTTGCTGCGCTCTCTACGTGGGCAAAAAAAAAAGTTGTCATTGAAGCAGGCTGAGGCTACAAAAAATTGCTTCTTTTTTCCTCTTTCAAGCGATATACTACATTTTGCCTGTATCTTTTATATGTATTACATTTTATATAATTAAAAAAATGGCGCTGGTGTAATGAAGTGCCAGATTATAGAGATTCTACTATATATATGTACATGAATTCTTCAGAAAATAGTGTTCTAATAATGTTCAAAATTAAAAAAATGTACTTCACTATGTTTTCGATTACAAAAATAAAAATATATAAAATTACTTATTATCAATTTCCTTAACCGTGTCCTAATTTAACTAACTTTGTATGTCTTAAAATAGCCGACACCCAGTAGATCATCTGCATATGTTTCATAAATTTAAACGAAATGTACTCACGACTTGATTCAAAGTATCCTCCAGTTCAGCTTCTTCAGCATTTTTGTTTGATTTCTTCAGTAATAGATCACAGTACTTGGCAAGCAGTTCAGGCGACTTACTGCTCGAATTCGCTTGTTTTGTGACAGCGTTAGCGTTTATGAACCTACCGCAGGCTTTGTCCAGAGCTGCCACAAAACCACTATCATTGTTGAACGCCACCAGAACCAACGCGTTGTATTTCTTATGGACTTCTAATATTGTATTTACATATACCTTTGGATCCTTAAAAATAGTAAAGAATATCAGATTAACTATATAAGCGAGTTTAAGTTAAAAAGAGGTTATATTATTCTAATACATACCAGCACCTAAATAATAAATAAAATTTTTTTATTCAATGTTAATTTAAAAATGGGAGGTATCTCAAGAACAGTTCATTGTAGAGCGTTGACAAAAGAAAATTCAATAGTAATAGCAGCCAGGAGAACAAATTTTTATTATCCACTTAGATAAAGAATTTGGATTTCCGTGTTACTGGTAAATGGAAAAGTGGAATGTGCAATACCTGAATACGTCCATATAACATCCAGAGGTTCTGACCTTACTTCCTGAGTATTTGCTAACTCGTTACAAATTATTATAAATATGTATATAGAACTCGTGAAACACGTGAGACATAATAAATATTCCCGATGAAAGATCTACAACATTATGAACAAGTAATGCCACTTGTACCTGCTAGTTGCTATATATCTTAGGCCCGGTAGTTTGAGTCTCGGTTAAAGATTGATTAACTGATCAGGCTGTGGGTACACATGCCGCAAGTGACCCATTTTTAAGCATTATGTCAAGAGCGCCAGCAAGACGCCACCGGACGCACCAGCGTTTCAGGAAGGGTCTACGGCGGACTGGCGCCAGCGACCAGATGCTTACTCATATACCTAGGACCGACTCCACACACCAGGACTCTCCAACGAACACTCACCCTGTCAACACGTCTTTTCCACAAGCTTAGTTTTCAATAAAAATAGTTTGTTTGTACCGTTGAAAACTAAGCTTGTGAAAAAAGACGTGTTGCCGGTTCGGGTGTTTGCTGAAGAGTCCCTGTGTGTGGAGTCGGTCGTAGGTATATGAGTACACATCTGGTCGCCGTCGCCAGTCTGCCATATACCCTTCCTGGAACGCTGGTGCGTCCGGTGGAGTCCTGCTGGTGCTCTTGACGTAATGCTTAAAAATGGGTCACTTGCGGCATGTGTACCTACAAGGCGATTAGACTGTACATATGTATACTGATTTATTTTATAAAGTATAATCACAGTCTAATTGCCTGATTAGTTAATACAGCCAAATTTTGTATTAATCATTTAATTAATTGTTCAAAATGCCAAAGGGAAAACTATAAAAAGTTTCAATTGTCGTTTTTTATTTTCCACTGATCCTGTTTCACAGAACTTTTGAACCAAACTGGCGACGTAAACATCGGAGGTGTGTTTATTTGCTTGACACTGATTAAAAATTCTTGCCGTAAGCCGTGTATTATCATTGTTTTTAAAATAGAAAGAAATTATTTCAACCCTTTCGTCATAAGTCATTTTTAGAATTAATAATTACTAAACACACTTCTGCTAAACACTTTTCTTTGAGAACTGAATAGCGACTAAAAGATATTGACTGGTAAATTTGTTATCAGTACCAATTTTTTTTCACTATTCAAAATACCTTTTATTTGTACAGTTTTTACAGTGAAAATAAATTGAAACTTTTTATAGTTTTCCCTTTGGCATTTTGAACAATTAATTAAATGATTAATACAAAATTGTCTTTTATTTCTAAGCATAAGTAAATTTTTTTTTTCAACAACAGATGAATTAAAATTGAAAAAAATTACATGATGACAACCAGAATTAAAAACACTTTCGAATGAGGCGTCACTCGACCTAGAGTGCCATTTAAGATTCTAAAGTTGAATGCGTCCACGCGAAGGGGGTTGTTCTGGCGAGTCTGTTTTTAACGCTAAAATGTGTCCCCCTCGAAAACAAAATTGACGTGTCGCGGCAATTTTTATATTTTGGTACGTAGTTCAAAATAATCCGGGTGCAAAGTTTTCACTGGTACACCCTGTATATATCTGTCATAAGCGTTCAAGAGGATCAGTAAACAACAATTATTTTTTTATTTCCTATCCTATATTTTGTTTATGTCTGGTTCTAAAAAAATATCGACAAGCAGTTTTAATTAACATATTTGTCATTTATACGAATAGGTAATGAATAAAAAAGGATGTAAATTTTGTAAATTTTTCAAACATTGTCATCTACTTGTGACGATACAAGCTACAAGGATTTTATATAATAAAAATCTAATGATATATTTCTTTCTGATGAGACCAAATTTCCTAGTTTTGATTCAGCCAAACCGAAGTTACAGGTATTTTTTTTTAAATAATCACATAATTCAAAATTACAATAATATATTTATTCTACTTTATCGAAATATATTTTAACTACGACCACTACTGTAAATACTTAAAAACACACCGTCTGTGATCAATGTAAGATTTCTATTATGTACGGTAAAGTATAGTACGTAATACGTGGTGTAATGCAATTACACACTCATAGAATTACGCACTCGCCGCTATGCGGTGTCGTACGTAACTTTTCCATTCATGCGTAAAATGCTTTTTACAACACTTATTATGGAATATACTATTAAAAAATGTTTTAGTTGCAGTTTTGCAAACTGAAGAATTCAAAAATAATTTCTAGTTTCTTCATTTGGTGACTTTAACCTATAATCTTTTTTTCTTAATGCTATGCGATTAAGGAGGTTTATCGGGTACGGAGGTACGCCTAAAGTCTAATGAGAGTTTCTGTAGATTCTCTAGTGACTAAAGTAATAAGCCTTTAGATTTGGCAACGTTGCACTTGGCTGGCTTTGTTTGGATGCCTAAGCTTTAAATATACATCATATGTCTCACCTGCGAATTTCAAATAATATACAACGTTGAGAACCGCGGGGTTGTCGCCATCATGTATATGGAGATTAAGTTAGTCAACGACAGCAGTTTGAAGCAGAATTATTATAAATTATCTATCTTACAAGTACCTAATCAATTTCTACGAGCTGTCATACAGTTCCTTAGGTATTGGTTTCCTGTTTATACAAGTTGCTGTGGAAACTGTTCGTCAATTGTTGCGCATTCTAAGTGGAAAGATCTACATTCTCATAAGACTCTGTACTAAATTGTGAAAAATTATTTTATTAATATCTCGTCTCTTAGGTATCCTAACTAATCATAACTTTTTTTGAAGATTTTCTTAATATTAATAAGCTTATATTAGAGGGTGGGCAAATTTAGACCCTTTTGAAAGGTTTTTCATATTTTCACTATTTTCTAAAATAGACAAAAAATAAGGAGGCAGAGGAAGAACAGTTTTCTGATTTTTGAGACACAACTGATGAGTTGACAAGGTCAAGTGAAAACAAGTTGTCATGGTAAATGAATCATCGGTTGTTTCACCATTATTTTTTCTAAGCCTCACCTTGACACTGAATCAAGTCTGTCGTGTTTTTCTTTTGTTTTGGGTGGAGATCCTTTGCCAACCAACTGTGATGATTGAATTTTTGTCTCAAAGACGTAAGTGCAAACTCAGATCTCGTCTCCCTTTATGATCATTTACATGAATGTTTCATCATCGTTAGTTTGTTTAGGGACTTACAGGCACTCAATTAATACAAATCGGCTCCTCCATCATACATTATATTTTGAGAATCATTTTTGTTTCAGATTAACCGAGTGTATGTAATCATGGAAACCGCAGATCATGCGAGTGAAGGAAATTTTTTATGCCGGCCATGACAGCAACGCTCCCAGTCGATACATATTTATAAAGAAATTTGTAAACATACCTCAACATCTATACTTTCAAATAAAATAAACCTGGATAAAATCGAACACATAGTTTTTGAGACAATAATATTTAAAATTCACCTATTATTTTCTTTCGGATGTTTCCATTTAAATAAAACAAAATATATAAATAAAAGAATTTTACATTAAAAAACTGCAAAAACATTAAAGACAAGCACAGTAAACAGTCTAACTACTCTATTTATTACTTACATTATGTGCACTTTCACCACATTTCTCTATAGCTGACAATCCCTGTGATGCGATGTGCTGTTCAAGCAATGTCCTTAATTCACCAAGGCCGTCCGGAATCCTGGCCACTAAACTGTACATTCGTCCTAAGTCGGCGTCTTTATCGGCATCTAGCAGCTGCTGAAATTCAGAATGGAACAATTCGAGATGTTTTTGAATCAAGACACGTTCGCAGGTTTTAGCCAGACGTTCACTGGTAGTCTCATGCAGGTACACTTGTACCCTCTTCTGTTCCTCAAGAAGTCTTTGTTCAGCCTAAAATAATAATTAGAAAATGAATTTCACAGAAGTGCACTTTTTTGATTTCGTAGTGCAACTTTATTAAATATGTAAGACTTATTCGAGTTTAAGTAAATTAATCTTTAACCACAGTAATACCCAAAAAAAAAATATGTTGAGATTTTTCTTAATAAACTATAGCCACTCATATAATTTTGAGATTAAAGGGGCATATTGATTAATTTCAGAAATAATTTATAATTACATACCCTTTTCATGTATTCTGTGACGGGGTTTTCAGCCAGAAATGTGGTGCTTTCTCTAGTGTAGAAACGTTCGGTATCTTCAAGAAAGACATTTTCAAAGCTATCTTTGTACACACTTAGATTGGGCCCTTTCGCACCAGGCTCCTCTTCATTAAGGCCAAGCTCAACATAACAATTTATGACGCCTGATACTAGACGTGTGTTTATTGTCTCTCCATTCCTTTCCTTTTCTATTAGCTTCAAAACAGCATTAGTAACCTGCAATGAAATCTTAAAAGTTATAGACTTGAATCTACAGATGTTTTCCTTTATGAGTGAATGTGGTACACAATCAATGACAAAATATTTAACAGAATCAGTTGAGTTATGAAAACAAATAGATTTGTAAATGAGTGTGAGTGAAATATGAGAACTAACAAGTTCGAAAGTGGTCTATACCTGGTGATTCTGCTAATGAATGATCTTAGCTGTTTACTAGACATTGAGGGTATAATTAAATGTTCGCTGGGTCTATAGTGTGCAGAGTAGATGTTTCCATGATGAGTAAAAAATTTATTAATATTGTGACAAATCCGTTTCTAAAGAACAAAATGACAAATCGAATATCAAAAACTGAAATTAGTCTATATTTTTCAGAGTTTCTCATAATTCATGAAGTAACATAACAATATTTAACCATACAAAAAAAAAACACATTGTGAGTTTGGTGTAGACTGTAGAGCTATTTACTTTTTAATTTTCTTAATTGAGGTAACAATAATGGAGTACAAAATTTTTCCATTTTTAAAATATTCCTTTTTAATGGTCATACAGAAAACCTTCAATTTCAGAATTCTTGTTTGGTATTCATTAGTTATGTTCATCTAGGACTACTCCAAAATTTCCCCTAACCAAATTTCACTTATATTTTAAACATATTTTTTTCTGAAGCCCATAGCTTTTTAGGAAACCAAATTATATTAAGCTAACTTAGAGTCAGTCTTTTCACGATCTTATAAAATCTTCCAGTTAAATCTATATCTGAATCACAAAACACATTTATGTAAGAAAGTGGCAGACCGATTTAACTGATAGTTAAATTTTTTTTCGTTTACTTTTATCCAAAAGAGCTTGAAGAATAGCTCATTATCTTCAGGACACACTGTATATAAAACACTCGATAAAATATAGACTGTGATATTGTCTCAAATTACTCATTTGTGGCAGTTTTCATATTTTCTGTATTTATTGGGTACTTTACCACATATGAATAAAATGTAAAAAGTAATGAAATCAACCATTGCTCCTAAAGGATCAGTCCGGGGTTATTTTTTATTAAAATAGTTTTGCCTGTCCAAAAATCACTGAAAAATGCAAAAAATTACATAATACAAAATACACATCACTATACAGGGTGTTTTCTAACTAATCTAAATTATTTCAGATGATTTATATTAACATATGACCAAAAACCAGGGGTGTGCTTGTAGGAAATTATTTAAAAAGCATAAAAAGTCACCTAGTACTTTTTCATTTTAAGCCTAGTTAATACATTATTGTATTATTTTTAATAAAATAACATTTTTCTCCACTACTAAGCTCCAATAAAAAAGTACTAACTGGTATTTTTACAATTACAAAATATGCACACAAAATTAAAAATGTGAGAGCCGTGGATATTAATTTTTGACACAGACTACTTCAACACCCTGTGAAATATTTCAGACTATTTAGCAAACACTTTGAATATTGACCTGCATTAGAATAGATGAACACAAAAATTATATTAAGGACCGAAAATTTGAGAAATCAAAAATTTGTGATTGCACTTGGAAAAAGGGGTATATTCAATGGGTTTGGTCAAAATTTTGGAGAAGGAAAATAATATCGTTAAAAGAAAATTAAAAGAGACCACATATATTTTATTAAAAAGTGACAGATGTTTCTAATTATTGAGAATTTGTATGTTTGTTGGGTACAAATACTAAAAGAAGAAGCATTGAAATAAATATATACAAGCAGACAAAACCAAACAAATTTAAACTGTCATTACAAAATAAATCAAAACTGTCAAAAATAATTTTAAAACTAAAAGTCAGTGTTAAGTATTAAAAATGACAACAAATTGATTTTCCAAAAGTCTAAATTTGAAATGTGACTTTTCTTGTTTACACTTTAATACTACAAAATATACTTACACGTACCGCTTTATTCAGTTGTTTGAAAAGGTGATCCCTCCAAGTAACAAGTGCAAGTTGATATATTTCATATATACCCTTTCTACCTTCTTCGCATTCTCTTTTTACCCAATGTCTATTTAAGTAGGCACATACACCATCAAGTACCTTACTGCAGAACTGATAATCTTCCCATTGATTGGTATAGAATTTAAGAACGTCTTCATCCATTCGGTGCATTCCATCCTTAAAATGATAAAATCAATAAAAAAAAATTCAACAATTACAATCTGCAGTGTCAGTAACTGGTTAACTTTTTCAGCTTACAGCATTTCCAATATCTTCAACATCTTTAAGTTGAATCAAAACCTAATAAACTAAAAATTTGAAGTCTGTGTGAAAAAATATTATTTACTATTTTATCTAATGATGTAGTAGTACTATTCAAATAGTTTTAGGAACCCCCATTTATTTTTGACAAAATAAAATTATCTGGATTATGTGGAACTGACGATGATTTGGATAATCAAAAATCTGGATAACAGAATTAATACAAAGTCACAAAAACACTATTTAAAATAAATATTCTTTATATGATATAATATTCAGAGAAAATATTTAAAGAATAACATAAAACATTAATGTTTATAACAAACGTATGCTAATGATTTATGTACAAGTAGATTATTTGCGACCGACCGTAAATCTGTCTGAACACCAATTTAAAAGTTGATTGATTTTCCATAAAATCGGTTCCTCAATGCAGACTTTTATCCATCATCTTCACCCGATTCCATAATTGTCTATGTATACCTAGATGTAGTCTTTTGAAAGTCATTCAGTGGATTACAAAATATGTAGGTTTGTCACACATGGATTTTGTAATCTACCGATCATCATTCGTTTAGTTAGAATTAATCTGTTTGTACTGCTGTGATTGAGAAATTATCATCTGCCAACTCCGCAACGATACTCTAAGAAATCGAGAGATCTGAATAATACAAAGATCCTGATCATCAGGATCTGGATAATCGAGTTTAACTGTACTCTGAAATGTCACAATTAATTTTTATAAATCAAGTCGTGTCATCACTTGCAAAAATATGACTTATGTTTGATAAAACAAGAAAATACAATTGATGTTGAGAAATTTATTATGCTCCAAATGTATGTAATTTTGTATCATTGTCTATGATAAAAAATGACTCCTACAAGTACAATCTTATAAACGCAAACACCCACAGGAATCTTAAAATTTCCAGTATATCTGTATTTCTGTTTTTCAGAAGTAGGGGTAAAATAATGAAAAAACAGGTTTCATTTTATCTAATAATTATATTAATATTAAAATAAAGGATATTACATAATTATCGAAGTGCATAGAAAAAAAACTAAATCATGAACATATTATGTATGAAACTAAAAATATATACATACTTGGAACAAAAAACAATAAAGTTAAGCTTTGAATAATATCTCTACAAACACATACAAACATATGAGAATACATACACGTATAATCGACCAAAGATCTGCTTATTTGAAATAATTCTCATTTGCTTTGCTTTATTTCATTTTATTGTTAAATATATTTTCACAATTAAACAGAGCTTATTAGATGTTAAAATTGTTAGAACTCAAGAAATATTGAGTACGTTTTTAAATCTAAATTAATGACAATTTGAAAATAAAAATGCTAATAGTATATCATCTTTTATATCACACTTATGTCACTATCACATAGAATTTTTTAGCATTGCAGGTGATAAATTTTCCCAAACTGCTGAAATTAATATTAATGCATTTCCAGTAACTTCTATGTCCATTAATGCCAATGATGATATTCTAATGAAATATTCTGATGTTGCATTATCGAGAAATAAAACGGCATTTTTCTTCTCTTCATGTTGCTGTTGTAGTTTTTTACCCATATTGACGTATTATCAAAAGTCATCCATCATTTTTATTTAAAAATCCACATTAAAATATGTGGGCTTCTTAGCTTTACAAATAAATCACATTCCATGTTTGAACACAAGCCAAGTCACCACATAATGTTTAAAATAAAACTGCTTTGATAAATTTTTTCCAACCAAACATTGGAAGCTTCGACTTCAAGTCGGTTAACTGCAAACTGAAATATTTCCAACTTCGTTTCTTATCTCGTACGTTACAGAACCAATTAAAAACCGTTTCATCAATGGTCAAACCAGCAGTTTTTGGAATTTACTATTCTGCTACAGGCTTTCATTCTTCTCGAATTCTTTATTAATTTCATTTTTATTTTTCAATCTATCGTTAATCTGCATTTTTCCCACACTAAACATTTCTGCGAGTTTTCAGACACTTAAATTATATTGTTCACCAGCGGTATCAGCGGTATTAAAACAATTCTATCTTAGGAGATAAATGCTTTCTTTTTTCATAATCCATGTTGACACTATCAAAGTTGAATATAAACTGATGCAAAATATATACATAATTAACACATATTATCTAATTAAAATTTGTTATATGTAGATAGCCGGCCAATCAGAAAACGCAAGGGTACATAGGGGGTACAATAAAACCAATACCCAATAGGTATATATATTAACACAGTGCCGTCTTGTTTCTCTGCTATTAACAAGTAATTTAACATACATATACTTTCACGTCTTGGTAAAAATTAGTTTACTTTTGTTTAAAGAGGATCCCTTATTAAATTATAACATTAAGAAAATCCCATTGTAAAATCCTGTGAAGGCAAAGTTATTTCTTATTTAGAGATATCCATTATTTAGAGGTGTCTGCAAATAGACATTTTACTGTGTGAGTAAGATATCTAGAAAGACTTTTAAGATACAGCAAAAAATCATCCCCTTTCAAAGGTGACACTGTTATTATTATTCAAATTCAGAAAAAAGTTTCTATAAAAATGCAGTTATTTTTTTTATGAAATCCTAAAAATATCAGGAGACAATTTAGGATCTTTTTATATATCTCAAGTCCAACCCATTGCGCATCCCGTCAATAAAAAGGACTGTGTCACATATAATAATTGAAAGTACTGTTGCAGTCTCTTTATTATTCCAGTGATAAAAAATTTTTTTCTTTGTAATTAATCATCAATTAATTTGTTAAAAAAGATAAGCATGTGTAAGAAAAATTGACATATTTACAAATTTTGGTTGCAAATGTAAAAAATTTTCACATGCAGTTTGTGGTAGGTAATACATTTAAGAAAAAAGGGAAACTACAATATTTAATTTTTTTACATTATTAGACTCAAAATGGCTTCAAAAAATAAAGTATTATCAAAAGACGATATTCATATTTTGCCATTACACAGGATGTTAGTAGTACAAGTTCCATAAATTTAACACGAAGTGTACATCAAAATAAATAAAAATATTTCTTTACAACAGTTAACCATTTTTGATGAAAACGGTTTATACGAAACTTTGTAATATTCAAAATCAAAACTTACAAAATAAAATAATATACACTAATAGCTAACACCTAATAATAATTTACTTCTCCATTATTTTATGTAAATATATTATAATAAATATAATCTGTGATATTTTTAATTAAGCGTAACCACAAGAATAAGTTATTCTTATGGCATAACTCAAGTCTAACAATTCGGCAACATAGCTGATCAACTTTTGTTGTCATTACTTTTCAGTCAAAAGTTGATTCGAAAAGCCAGTTTGCAAGAAAACGGCTTTATTTTAATCATGCAAAATTAAAAATAGTTGTTCACACTAGTGTTATTGATAAATAATTGTATGTGTATATCTTGCTTATATCACGTTTACCATATGTGAATATCAAGTTATCAATTTATTGGGAAACAAAAAAAAATTCTTATGAGCACAACATAATTTTTGGTAACTTCTATCCACAGACATACAGAGTGGCGCAATGTGTATTGGCAGTTTTTAGAGTGTTATTATGGATATACCAATGAAACGACCAAGGTCAAAAAGATATATTTTTATTACATATAATGCAGTATTACAACAAAAATTATTTTTTGAAAATAATGTCTTTTAAATAGCCACCACTTTTTTCTACAGTCCTGAAGTCGTGATTGAAAATTCTCTGTAACTCGTAGCAGCATCTCCTGGTTTATCGCTCTGATTTCTCGAGTAATGTTGTCTTTTAAGGCTTATAGTGTTTAAGGTCTATTTTCGAAAACCCTAGCCTTTAAATATCCCCATAAGAAAAAATCAGGTCTGGTCAAATCTGGTGACCTCAGCGGCCAATTAAAATCACCACGATGGGATATAAGTCATCCAGAAAACATGTTTCTTAGAGCAGCCATGCAAATTCGCGCAGTATGGCTTGTTGCTCCATCCTGCTGGAACCATAAGACATTATTTTCTACCCCCAGTCGTTGCAATTCAGCAGGTAAAAAATTTTGAAGCATTTCTAAAAACTGTTGAGAAGTTACAGTCACTGTACGGTCATTTTTTTCAAAAAACTATGGGCCTAGTATTCCGAATACAGACACGCCACGCCATACGGTAACTTTATCGGAATGCAGAGGTTGTTCTTGAATTTGTTGAGGTTGTTCAGCAGCCCAGTATCGAAAATTTTGTTTATTCACATATCCTGATAAATGGAAATGCGCCTCATCAGACATTATCAAATTTAAAACATTTGGGTTTAGTACATCAAGAAATGTTCTACAAAATTGCAACTGTGCTGGTAAATCATGCGGTAAAATTTTATGAACAACTTGAATTTTGTATGGATGAAATCGTAGGTCTTCGTGTAAAATTCGACCCAAACTTCTTCGTGTAATGTTCAATGCTACTGCTGAACGCCTTGCTGAACGAACTAGCCGTACTCGCTCTACATTCTCCCGTGTATGCACAGTTTTGATAGAACTGACAAATTCATTTTTTACACTTCCATGATCACAAAACTTTGCAACCCACATTCTACCACGCCTTGGATTATATTCACACCGAAACTGTCGTTGCACCTCAAAAACAGACTCCGATCGGTGATACACCCTAACGCAAAAGCAAAAGTTGGTTCACTGGCCACGTATCCATGGCTACTAAATGGTATTACATGCGGAATATTTTAAGCGGTTGAATACCCCTCCACTTTACTCATATTCGGACAGTGGCGTCTCAAAAATCGTCAATACCCATTGCGCCACCCTGTATATGTACTATTTGGGAATTTAGAGTATGCAATTGTTTAGAATGAGGTGGTAGACATTTTTAACTTTCCTTGTACAGGTAAAATTTGGTAAACATATCACATTTTGTTCTTTGGTATTCACAACTTTTACGCTTATTTTTTAAATATTTTTGAAATGGATAGACTTAGCACCTACATATGTCGCATAAACCTTTTGTGTTTATATTGCAGTGTTATGATCTAAATATGCGACATTAATACTGTGGACATCCTGTATATTTTATCGAATAAGCAAATATCGGTTAATAAAGCATAAATACAATAGCTATTCTGAGTAGAAATATTTCTAAGTCATTAGATGGGAAATACTAGCTTCGTTAACAGAGTAGTTAGAAATACACGTTAACCATCAAACACATGTAAACTGCATTTGTGACGTTCGCAGACGGGTGAAAATTTAATGTTACTAACGTAAAACTCATATATCTGACGGTTGGTAAGTAACTGATGTGATTGCTACATACAAATCTGCTATTTAGGAATGAGTAGGTATTATAGGACATAACCACAAATAAGAGTTCAATGAACTGTACTAAAATGAAGTGGATAGTTGGACACAGACCTAAAAGTCAACCTTGTAATATAAATTAACAAAATAATCACACTGTTAGTTTCTTACCACTAGTAGACATGTCTAATATTGAAAACAAAAATGAATACATGAGAAAAATCTGTACTATTATAAACTGTTTGAACATTTCTTGCGTCTGTCTTTAAAAAATTATAAACAATTATAAACTATAAGATACATAACAGGGGTAAAAATCTTAGGCTTACTTCAGAAAATATTGCAATGAAAATATATTTTTTTATACATAATTTTGTGCTTATTATATTAAACCGAGGCAACTTTTGAATTAAACTATTTCTTATCATTATTACATTATATTTAATTGTTCAACAATTTAAAAATTTTTTAAAATATTTCATTAAATATAATCAAAAAATGTAGTAAGAACATACTAGTTACTATATCCATTTTTTTCGCATGTTTTAAAAATACTTCTGTCAAGAATTGTATGATGTGACAAACAGTTTAATATTGAAGAAAAAAACTTCTTATATAACATTAATTTGGTTAATACAAATATTTAGTACTTACACTTAAAAGTGAGACTAAATAATTTCGTAAAAATTCTCTCAGCCTTTTATATAATTCCAGTCCAACTAATTGAGCGCCCCCTCCAACAGGATTTTTTTTACTTTTAGTTGTGGAGTTGGAAGGTCCACGACCATTAGCCTGTTGATGTACTGATGTACAGTAATTATAAACATGTGTATATAACTGAATATATCGGGATTTATGCATAGTCTCCCGATTATATACTTGCTGGATTCCAGCATTTAAATCGCCCCATATTTGATCCAGATCGATTTGTTTTAATCCAGCAGTATTATTTCCTATCACAAGTGAATTCTTATTAGACATTTCCTTTGAACTGCACAAAAATTCTTCACACTGTGGACAAAACAAAAAAAGTTGAATGTGGGGGTTTGTCAACCATCACAAAAATATACTCAATACACACACTTATGATGGTCTCATTAGATTCAATAGCTCTGAAAAAAACAAATTAATCGTTTTTTAGAAAGCAGAATATGATATTTTGAAATAATGTCTTTCACCTTTTGTTTGCACTTTGAAAATCAACTTTCTATTCAACTTACCATTTAATCTATAACATAACAAAAATTTACACAGTATTTACAACAATCGTTATAAAAGCAAAACTAGAAATTTAAAAACAATATATAAATTAAATAATTTTACTTGGTTCTTGAATTTCAGAATCACGGAAATTGACAGTTCTCTCATACGAATGAATATTGGCCCAATCTTAGGGAATTCTTCTACTTTTTTTTAGTTACTAGTACTCTACCCATTGCAATATAAACGTACTGGAAAGGACAACACAACTAAATAGTGAATTCGGATGGATGCACTATGCTCACTGAATTAAATACGATCTGCCTAGATTATCACAATCAGATAATTATCACCATATCTCTGCAAATCTGATCTGACTAAATCCAATTAACCAAGATCTTATGAAAACTGTCAGCCTAACAGAATATGGTCCAACCTAACACATTTATGGATATTAATAGATATCTGTAATAAAATTAACACAAATTTTAGGTTTATTATGTAACCAAACGTCAAAAATGGTGACCGATCGTGGTGTGTATTCAAGAAAATTTCACATTTCATCCTTTTATTTCCAAATTCCAATGTAGATGTTCAATTTGTATATAAAGGTAATATTTTAGACTCAAATTACCTGTTGATTAACCATAATCGTAACTGATCAAATTTATTATTTTATGTTAAAAGGTGCGTGTGGCACAAGAAAAGTGACAATTTTTAATTTGCTTCTTATTTTCTTATGGGATATGCAATGAGTCAGAAAGAGATGACGGTTGAACGAAGATAAACTAAGGAATTTGGTCACGTATATGTTTTTTATTGGCTGATTGACTTACGGACCGTGGTTTTAGCTACTAATACGCGCCATTATTCCATGGCTAGAAATTGGCCTCAATGATTTGGGATCGAGGGGGATTTTCCCTCTTTATCCTGCCTCATCTCGTGCAGGTCTGGACAGCCTTCGTAGGTGGGCCCCATCCGTCGTCTACCCCGACCGCAAATGCGGCCGGTGTAGGCGCTTTGTGGGACCTCCTTTTGTCCTGGCTGGGCCCCGCCGGCTAGGGCCCTTTCTTCTGGCGCTCTTCTTGCTTCGCCGGCTCGTCTGTGTAAACCCCGGGGGTAGTGTCATGTTTATGTGTGGTATGGTTGGGTAGGGTAGTGCGGCTATGCAGCCTGGGATGCGCTTTGCTAAGGTGGCCCTTAGGCTAGCGCGGGAGGGGAGGG